TGTGTGTGTGTGTGTGTGTGTGTTTGAATACATGCTTTTGTATTATTATGTGGACAAAATACACTTTGCCATGGCACATCAAACCATCAATTAATTTTTATCACTTATAATGCTTTCACTGCGCTTGTTGATACGGCAAGTATCGTTCTCAGTTCTCAGCAGCTCTGTATCGGATTTGCATGTTAGTGTACCGAGTGCGTGTTGAGCTAGCTTTAGTGGTTGTAACCATGCTCTATCTCTATCAGATCTAACTGGCATTACATTCAGCTTGAAGAGAGCTGAAGTAAACCCAAAGAAATGGGCTGAATCACAAGTAAAAAAGTGTACAACTTCTTCAACCCATGTTTTTGAAACTGTATGTTCATTCAAATGTTCTTGTTTGAGAAGTTGTATTATCTTTAATGGATCCGGAGAAAGTTGTTTGACAGTATATTAACTACTCTTTCTCCCTGGACACATTAACACAGTAGTGAGTGAAACAGACTCTTCAAAAAACAAACAGAGAATGATGTTTGATTAAATTACTGCCATGAAAATCGAGGAGATGCTGCCCCTTAATGGACTTTGTAGTCCGGAAGGTTTGATTTCCATCGGAATATTTTTCAAATTTAACTGACTTTGGCATTTATTAACCCACATGATATTACCCCAACCTTTTAGTTGTCAAATGTAATAAAAACAGTATGATTAAGGATAGTGCAGTTTCACATGTGCTACAGTGACATTAGGAATAAGAACAATGTATTATTAACTTACAAATCCCTAAAAAGAGACGATCAGATGAGATTGTATGGGACAATAAATCAATAATCTAAAATCATTTCATACATGAATATAAGGAGTAACTTAGCACCAGTAACGAGTACTTGTAGAAATAAAACTTCCTCTGTATCAAAGTGTAGATAGAATAAAGTAGGTATGTTTTAGCTCTGCATGTGAGATAAGAATGTAGCTTCGGGCTACACTGCAGACTTCAAATGAAGGAAATGCACGAGGAAATAAGCCAGTCACACTGGCAGCATGAAATACTGAAGGGCATCTGTGCACGTGCCTCTTTATGTTTGTTTTTCAGCCAAGCTGGCACACAGGCATGGAAATATGTGTACATAATGAATCAATTAGTCTTTTTTGCGCTGAAGTGAGTACTTTCATACGTACAGTATTCTGTGTACATTTGTTTGAACATACAAAATAGAACAAACAACTAAATGACCCTCACACAACATTTTGAAGTCTTCATGAGAGATTTTCATGGTTTACATTTTGGCTGCACTATAATCAACACTAAGACGTAATATGTAAATCATCAGTGTGTTGTTCATTACCGCCAAACTGTTGGTTGTTATTGTAGACACATACTGAAGTGTCTGGTCTAAACTGGTCTCAGAACAGCTGCATTTATGGAAATCCTAGAAATCAGAAAGTTCAACACTGAACATTTTCGAAAGAACTAAATCAACTGAAATATGAGACAATATGTTGTAAAAGGCAACTTCGTGGTCTCTCAGAACTAGTTTTAAAGACATGATGTCAGACTGCACCAGAAATTAAGTTTTTATGAAAACAGCCTGAAAGCAGGAATAAAGGAAGACCTTCATATTGTTGCATTTGGTTGTTCACATGCGCCACAAATAGTTTTGGAGCAAATTAAAAAAGTCCAATCATTTACTCCTTTATCACATTCACACAGATAACCAGTCACTGAGTGAAGTGGATGTGACTGTCGAAACGTCTGTAGTTGAAAGTCACAGAGATGGTCAGACACAGACCTCCTATATCCGATGTTGGAAAGGTGTGGAAGAGAGCGTTTCAAAGCTGTATGAGTATAAAGTCTGCATAAGAGGTGCACAGCAACCTACAGTCTGTACTGTATCTTCACTGTCCGAGTATCCGATGAAGTACGAAGTGTTAAAAATACATAAATACTTCCTGATATAATATGAACGATTCTGCTCAACAAAAGTCAAAATTTGACAAACCTCATCTTTAAATTGGTAAACAATCAAAACAGAATTTTCAATAAACATAAACATGGCAAGATAAACTCGAAATAGAGTGAATGAAGATATTTTACTGAGGACATTAGTATTGTGATAATAAATGGGTTAGGTATGTAAGGGAAAGGAATGGATATGTGTTATGTGCAGGTGTGTGTTGGAATCTGGGATAAAACATTTTTTTATGTAAAAGATCAAGAGGGATGCATAATATGCTGGAACCAAATTTAAAGTAGTTCATTGTGTTTGTCTCCAGCTGTCTGAACTTACCTGGCCGTGGAGCACACGTGGCTGCATGCTAAAGTCTGGCTGACCTGTGGAGCTGGCCGGCGGTGCCTGAATTCTGGAGGTAGTTTTATGTTGTAGCCTGACGGTGTCACCACAGTCGCTGCTGTCAAAGTTGCTTTTCCACACCATTACCTGTTGGGTGAATATAAAATGTTATTTAACAACTCCTTTTATTCTTGTTTCAGAGATTGTAAATATCAACACAAGCATTATGAGGAAGGCACAGGAACTATGTCTACCAAGACACAAGCAGGCAAATCACTCTGGGAATATGAAGTTAAATATTTTAGGATCAGTTAGAAAAAAGAATCAGTCATTAACCTGTTCATCAGAGCCTCCAGAGGCAAAGTACTCTCCGGTCCCGGAGAAGGCCACACAGGTGACGGGACCCTGAAGTGAGGGTAAGAGAAATAAAGAGATGGAGAACGGAGGAGAAAAATAGAATTATACTCAAGTTCTGCATTATCTTTCTTACAAAGACACGTACCTTGAAATGCTGCGCTGCTCAATATTCAAGTTGAAGATAAAAAGCAATCTCACTGTTGCAATGCCTTGAGTTCCAGATCAATGTCAAATAGATCGTGAGGAGCAAAAGCATAACATGGGCAGATCTGCACCTTATTCATACCATGCCAGTACAAATGGGAGGTTTAACAATTTCTAAAATAACTGATGAGTCAATCGACAGACTCATTAATCAGAAACTAATTAGAAAACTTGTGCTACAAATTAATGGTGGATATTGGCTGCTTGCCTTTGTCTGTGAAAGTGATCTGAATATCTTTGGGGCTTTTGAACCGTTGGTAAGAAAAAAACAGACCTTAAAAACATCACCTTGACCTTTAGAAAATGGTGATGAACATTCTTTATATTGCAGGTTTTTAAGATCTTATGGGCTTAATGATTAACTGCAGTTCTATGAAATGAAACATCCATGAAAGTTGTGCCATAAACGTGTTGAATTCAAGAATTCAATATTTTCAACCTCTACACAGTGACCTTGATTCATATGAATAATAAAATGTATTTTCCTGCTAAGTAATTTACAAGAGCTGATGCTCAAGTGTATGTGCTAATGTAAAACATACAAGACAATAGACATTACATAATTTCACAAAATACATCATACAAACATTTTTAAGAGGGTAGGTTTTCTGAATCTGTGGTCTTGTGAAATAAAATGAACGCTTGTAATATGTGAGGGAAGTGAACTTGCTCTAAAGAGAAAGGTGCCTGTGTGTGTTTGTCTGTGCACTGTAAAACCTAACAGTACATCTTAATAAATGAAGTAAGTTACAGTAACTTAATTTACAAAAAAAGTTGAGGCCACTGTTTATCAATAATTTAACATAACTCAAAAGTAAATAATTGAAGTAATAACTTAGTTACTTTGAGTGCGATTACATTTTTAGATCATTTTGAGTACTGGTGACATAATTCAATTTGTTTCATTGACTAGTCTTCTTTAAGTTGATTTTATACAATTAAAAAAAATGCAATTCCCATGTGCTGCTATTTTCCTATATCTTAGGATTTTAAATTGTATTTTTGTTCTTGTTTATAAATCATCATATTGTGCATAAGTATGCATCCAGATCATCTTTAATAATCCTCCAAAGTGGAACCTTAGTATGGTTGTTTGTTACATTACGTACAAGCAGGTATTTTTGCAACTTGATTGACAGAAAATGAATTGCCAACTAATATGATACATGATTCATTGTGTAGCATATGTACATTTGAAAGTATAAATGACAATTGTTTCATATATTCAGCTTCTATGAGAATATATTGTTTTATTMTTCCTTGTCTTATAAATCTTTTAATAMTTTTGAGTGTTGAAGGATGGGGCAACTACATCACTGTGGGCTGAACTTCTGTTCATGATTTCCAAACGATTTTCCAGCCCAAATCATTGTCATATTTTATAGTCCGGACCATATTTCCTGCGTGTCACGGCTGCCTGGTTCCTAGTATTTCCTCGAATAAAAGCAGGGCTCTATACGCAAGTAAACGTCAAGACTCCACGTTYTTACTCCGTGCATCTTCRGCTCCTGCAACAATAAAACCTTGTTAATGTAAATTAATCGATTCAGTCAACAGAAACGCGAGGGTGCTTTTACTCTGAAACGGGCACAGGAAGAATTGATTGCTTTAACCGGAAGACACGGCGCTGAGGTGAAGCGGCTCTCCGGCCAATCCACACCAGTAACATAGACAGCGAGGCCCGGGAGTAAACTGTGTCATATATTTAGAAAAGKTATTTCAGCGTTTACAGACTCATTCAACTTTATYCGCCAACGTCACGTAAGTCTGCTCACAACCGGTAACCTGCCGTTCACCTGCTGTCGCACACGGTACKGAGGGYGGCGMAGGGCGGGACCAGCTCAAACCGGTCAGCACCAAGTTTGCACTCGGACCGGAGTGATGAAAAAGATCGGCGCGAAGAGTTTTTTGCTGGACAAACTTCCCTACTGACCGAGAACCCCGCGACGATACGTCTTCCACGCAAGGTAACGTTGTCTTTTATTGCTGCTTTTCATGCTTTGGTTTTTGAAATATACAAGAAAAATGTCTGACCGCTGAAACTTGCTAAGGAGTTCGGTTAAACGGCGCTAGCTTGAAGCGCYCCCAATCCCGCTTCTGAAAAACATTCAAAAGTTAACGGRCCAACGTCGTGTAGTTTAAATTGGCCGGTGTTGGATTAACATTAGTTTGTGAAAGTGTTCGGTCAAGCTCCAGTTATAGTTCGGGTTCGGTAACGTTAAGGTAATAACTGTTRAACTATTTTAAAAGCACAGAATGAAAGAGAGAATGGTGGTGGAAACATGTTAGCTTGGCATGGTGCTTTCAGGCCCCACCCTGTTAACGGTCATTGTGGAAAAGTGGCAGGTGTGTGAAGACTCAAACCAAACTCAYAGTTTCTGCCGAGACTTTGAGTTCTACTTTCTAAAGTCAGTTGTTTTAAGGAGAGCAAACCATGTGGAAATGTAAATTGTGTGATTTTTCTACTGCCCTACAAATACAGTTA